TTGGGGTGGAGAGGGGACAAGCTTTGTGTGCTCAAAGGAGTGTGAAAATCCAGCAGATGCTAGCTGTGCTGCCGCAACAGCGTGACCACAACTGGAAAATATCTGGAAAAACTATAAACCCTTGCCTGGGTTGGGCGTTGCCGGGGGTCGCAGCGGGAGGGGGTCGTGTTTGCAGACGTGCTTGGTGGTGCATGGTTATGTGATGCCGCTTTTCCTGGGCCGCGTTAGAGCTGTTTGCCAGACGGGTCATTTCCACGCCTCCACGTTAGAGCCGCTTGCTGCCGGCCTTTTCCGCGGGGGTTTCACACGCGTCTCTGCTGGGGGAGCACCCAGAGCAAATCCAGTCAAACATACAATCATGGAGGCGGCTGATTACTTCTGTACAACGGCGGATGGGAATTTTAATGCCTGGTTACAAATTACTAATGTATTTTGCTGCGGGACACTAATAAAGTTGCTTTTACCAGCCGGTGTATTGTGGTGCTGTGAATGGAGCGGGCTCCCAGCCCGCCCCTGCTCCCCCTCCCCGGCATTCAGATGCAAATCGGCTTTGTACTCATTTCTCATAATTGCTCTGCACCCCGCCTTGGCCTTCCGAAGGTACCCAGCAAATAATGTTTGCTCAGGCTGCAATTTAGACTATACATTATTTGTGATAACTATAACTACAAGGTATAATTTCGCTGTCTTATTTAAATTTTATGAATTTCAGTGTGTTTTACACGTACCAATAAAGTCCAGTATTCGAGAAGAAGCGCTTGCGCAGGTCAAAGTCGCGTTTGCCGTTTCTGTAAAGCATCCATTAAAATGGAAAGCAGCCTGTTCTGTAGTTAATGTTTTAAACTGATCTATTGCAGATCCTTGGCAGTGTTACGTTATTTATCTTGATCAGCTTATAATTTACTATATCAAGGTTATTGCTGTCATGTTACCAAAATGCTGATGAGAATTAAGCTAAATAGTTCTTGGGATATTTTTGCCAAATTTATTATGTTTTCAAGCATTTTAGCCTCTTGAGTACAGATAATAAACAACTGAATTATATACTAGTTTCATATGCCTTTAAAATCTAAACAAGCATCTGCTGGGAGGGTAAGCTAATGTGCTCGTTCCACTGGCACTTAAGAGTTAATGAAATAGATAAGCTGTAGATCTTGTTGTCTTATATATAATTATTAACTGGTTTTATACAATGTGATTTGTTTGTTGGTTTTGTTTGTTTTTTTTTTCCCCTCTTGGTATTAATATAATTGTCTTAAACACTACATTGCCTGGGCTGTTCAGTGGCTCTCTCCAAAATACATACATTACTCCCCCCAAAATGCAATCTATTAGTGAACTTTAAAAAACAACCCATATGTTAGGATGTACAGACAAATTTATATGTATTTAGTTTTTAAATAAATGTTAGTTTATTTTATGCTACAAACTTGAAGCATCAAGTCGGCAACAAATTAAAATACGGTTGCACCTGACGAAAGCTGGTTTGAAAACCCAGCGGGGAGCGGGAGGCCGGAGGGAAGCTCGGGCCTCTCCGTGTCGAGAGGCAGTGACGGGGGGCGGGAGGCCAAGGGCCCCAGCGCGCCCATCGCTTTTTTTATCCAAGAATCGCTCCTCTGAGAATCGCACTGGGTTTGTAGAGGAGAGGCGCATGGAGGGAAATCGTTAATGGCTGGTACTTATTTAATTGCTCTGTTTAGGAATGCATTGGCAGCGGCTGGGGGAAAGGAGAAGCCTGTCTCCCCAAAGCAGAGGGAGGATTGAGTGTCGCGTTAAATCCGATTCTCAGTTTCTGTGCTGGGTACGTGGTTATCGGAGCTCGGCTCTTGCGCGGCTGCTGCTCACCAGGACGAGCCTTGGCTGCGCGCGGGTGCTGTGGACGTTGGCTTAGCAGAGATCTGCTCTTAAACCCGGGGTGAGTTCCTGCGTTGCCTCTTTGGTTAGAGGGGTGGAGTGGCCTGCCGCAAGGAAGTTTTGATCGTAACCGTCAGGGGATGGACGGTGCTTTTTAAATCTCTGTGTGTGACTGGTGTGCGTAGGCGAAAGCCGGATCTTGCAGGCCTGGAGGAGGGCTGGTAAGCGGCAATTCCTCATTTCGGAGCCAACCCCAAGCCCCCGGTGGCTCAGGAGGAGCCCGGCACAGGAGCAGCACCAGCTCCTACTCCTGTTGCCCCGCACAAAGCAGCAATAGAGTCCGGCTTGTTCAGCGCCGGACCCCGAGATGCTGCGAG